AGCCAGATGTTACCGGGGGGCTTTTGTAGTGGCGACTGAAGACCCTGCCACGGAAATCAGCCTAGAAGGATGCTACGCTTTATGTGAAGCCTAAGCCTAGCTTCGCCAGTTTTGGCGATCACGTAAAGGTGGTCAAGCGACTACGTAACAAAGCTTTGAGCAAGCTTGCACGTGCCGTAATGTAGAGCTGCATTTAATTAAAACGCGTTTTGGCATATTTAACAGAGAATTTACATTTGCTCTGAAGACGAAGAAGAGCGCATTTGCCAATTAGGAAATTTTTTCAAGCAGACTTTCCGTTTCCGTGGGAGGTCTTTTTAAATCAAGGTCTAGAAGAGCATAGACGTGTCGGGTGCTCGTAATTATCAATAAATCAGACAGTGGCAGTGAATCGCGTAAACCAAGTGTTGAAGTGGCCGCTGAAAGCTTCGCAGAAAAAGTGAGTAGAGAAGTGCCAAATTTGTGGGGCACAGTGAGTAACCTTTTTGTTGCCCAGGTTAGGAAAACTAGAAAATTGGAGGCAGCAAAGCAGCGTCGACGCACGGCCAGGGCCAAAGGTCGACAAGACCTTTCGCCAAGGGAAAATCCCTTAATTTTGTTACCAGGGCTCAAGCCAGCGGGTAATTATGAAAATAGAGTGTTTGTTAAAGGCAGTGCTTACTGTTTGAATGGAAAAATTTACAGATTGGGCCCTACAGATCAAGTCCCTAGGCAAGGGGTACCCCTAACCTGAGGGGATGAAGTAGAGAAGCTACAACCAGCGCAGGAGGAGCCGATCCCCAGGAAAAATCAGGCCAACAGCGCGGATGCGCAACTCATCTCTTGGCCAGCTTCGCGTCGGGAAAAGCGATTAATTCTTTTTTTTGTGAAAATTTTGCTAACCTCGCGGGTTAACCTTGACCTGACCCCTGTGTTCTAACCTCCTCCTAATGCAAGTGAAGAATAATTTTAAATAGGGTTTACCCTTAAAGCCCATTTTGGTAACTTTTTCTTCTGAATTTTGTGCGAACAATTTGCTCTAACAGAGACAATGTGATTAATGGCCCAAAACATTTGTTAATATTGGCCTTTGAATTTAAAAACTTATGCTCGAATTATGCTCTCGATCTGCTTGCATATAGCCGTGAATTTAATGAAGCCGAATAATGAAAATTTATGCTGAATTTCCAATATTTTAATTTAATTTATTATTAATTTAGTTTTTTTATTTAATTTTTACACCTTTATTTTTTTACTTCAAATTAAGTTCCATTGTTGCATAGCAAAAAGAATAATAATATAAGAAAATAGGGCCATTCGGACTTTAACCCCTTTTTTCCAGAGAAAAGCTTCGAGGGAGATCGATCTTCGCCGATGGAAAATTGAGTGAGTCTAAAAAAAAAAGCCATTCGAATGAAAACATGCAATTGAAAAAAAATGAAAATACTTGAAAACTTAAACCATTTAAAAATGATTTAATTTAAAATATACAAAAATAAAATCTCCATAAGCTAATGCAACAATTGAAATTGAAATTGAAATGAACTAAAGACATGAAGTAAATTTATTTTAATAGTTAATAGAAAAGAGAAAACATGAAGTAAACGAACATTTAATAATACAATTTAAATTTGATTTAAACTTTTAAGAAAAATTATTTCTTTTGAATTTTGTGCACAATTTTTAAACACATATATGTACATCTATGCACCTCCTCAATTTTATACATTGTAATTTTAGCTTACATTTATCTTTGTTAGCTTTAAGTATTGAATTAATTTCATTAAACCTGTTTTAATTTTAAAAATCATGTTAGCTTAAAAACCGGTATATACCGACTCGTAGGATGACTCCACGGTCGTAGGGTCCTGAAGGGATCACCAGAGCCATGCTCTTGCGGCAGGTGATCGTAGGTTGGGTGGGCACAAAGCGAGCACAACAACATCTGTGTCTCTGCATTGTATAGATTTTCTCTCTGTCTTCTCTTCTCTCTACTTCCGCTTTTCTTCTGTCTTCTTTATGTTGTGTGAATTTTGTTTATCATTTCTTCCGGTTTTGTTCTAGCTCTTATTTTGTCGCAGCACGCTCAATTCTAGTCTTTGTAATAATAATGTGTAGTCGTTGTCCGAGATCTGGGTGAGCAAGACCTCCACCCCCAAAGCCGACGAGCTAGAGCCGGAAAAATAAAGCGTGCCCCAGCAGCCCAGATCCTCACCAACCACGACGAACTTTATGGTTGCACGCTACAATTATGAAGGAAGCATTTCCGACCCTATAAATCATATATATTCTTGATCAGCATGAAGAGCCGAGTCGATTTAGACATGTTCGACAGTAAAATTTTTTTTTTAATTTTTTCAACTTTTTTAAGGGGTTATTTCATTAAAATTAAACCAAAAAAATTGATAAAATTTTTAATTTATTATAATTTTAAATTGAGTATGCAGATTTATTAAGCTAACCTAAACTAGCATTAGAAAGCTTACCGAATTGAAATTAATGCTGTTTTGGCTTAGTTATGGATTTTTTAAATTTTGATTTGTCGTAAAATTTGCATATAAAAATATAGTTAATATCGATTAAAAAATGGGATTGCACCTTCAGTCTGAAGCTTAAAAGAAAGGGAGGAGACATTTCCGACCCTGTAAATCATATATATTCTTGATCAGCGTCAACAGGGGAATCTTTCTAGCTTTTTCCGGCAGAAAAAAATTTTTCGAAGTTTTTTCCAAATTTTATAAGGGGTTCGATCGTAAAAATTGTCAAAAAAAATTGAGAAAAATTTTAATTTAAAATAAAGTATGCAGATTTATTAACCTAATAAAATCTAACATAAGACAGTTTTCCGAACTAAAATTAATGGATTTTTGGCTTAGTTATGAGTTTTTGAAACTATGATTTCTGACATTTAGGGTTTACAAATTTATACCGTGCTTTTAAATGCTATAAGCAATACAAAAAATGAATTAATGGTAGGTTAAAATTTTTATTTTAAACTTTTAGTTATAATTTTTGAAGCATTTCAAAACCTACATAGTTTTCCTATTACTTTTCTTTTATATATTTTTGCTGAAGTGTAAGTATGAAATTATGTCTTTGTTTGTGGCCTTCTTTTTCTTCTTTTTCTCCCCCACTTTCCCCCTTCTTACACCAAGCCCACCCCCATTTTGGCCAAGTTACACGCACACTCGTAAAGCTCAAAAGTCAGCGACTGCAAATTGACAGCAGTTACAGTTCGTTAAATGCGGAATGAAGAAGAAGCAAAAGAAGCTGGAGAAGATATGTGCAAAGGGGTGGTGCTTGGGGTTGGGGTAGGAGTTGGGGGGTGATAAGAAGCAGGGGTTGGGAGCGGTTAGGGGAGGGGGCTGTGGGTTCCAGAGTTGGGGTTTGGCGGTGGAGACCACAGATGTGTCATTGACTTAATAAAATCAAAATCAAAGCCAAAGGCACGCACATGCTTAAGGCATCGTGGTTCTCTGTGTGTGTGGGGGAAGGATGGGGAAAAACAGTTGAGGTCAAAATTATAGATCCTAAAGAGCTAGATATATATTTTCATCAGAAACTTGTAACTAAGTAAAGGAGTCATTTCCGACCATACAAATCATATAAATTCTTGATCAGCATCAACAGGCAATACTTTTTAGCCATCTCCGGCAGAAAAATACAAGTTTCGAATTTTTTGAATATTTTATAAGGGTTAAAATCGTTAAAATTGTCAAAAAAAAAATTTAAGAAAAATTGTAATTTTTCTCAAATTAAAATTAAGTATGCAGATTTATTAACTTGATAAAAACAAGCACAGGACAGCTTTTCAAATTAAAATTAATGCTTTATTGACTTAACTATGAAATTTTTAAAGTTTAATTTTCCAACAAAAACTGTCAAATAAAAATATTTAAAAATATCGATTCAATTAAGGACTTATCGAGATCTTTAGATAAAGAGGTTTGCTTTCAAAACTTGCTATTTATTAAATAAAATTTAAGGATAGTAATATGCTTTTAATAATCCATTGAATATATAAAGTTTTCCCTACTAGACCTATTTTTTTGATCCCATCTGTTAGGGGTGGGCCGGTGCCAGGTCCGCTAATGAAGAGCAAATTTGCTGCCGAGCTGACTCGGTCTCCTCGAATTTTCCCTGGATTTTCCACACACACACACACGCGAACACGAACACAGTGTAGCCCTTGGGGGTGGCAACTGGGTCTCGGTGGTTTTCTCGGGTTTTTCCCCAAACTGGGCGTGTCAGTGCTGCTGACAAGCGTGAAATTAATCGAGAGGCAATTCGGCGGACCAGCCAGACGCCGTCAAAAACCAAAGAAGCCATTTCCACCAACAGAAACCGAGAGCCTCGGTATCCATTCAGGCCAAAAACTCAAACAATAGAAGGCGGAATATTTTCGGTTACTGGGCAAACACAATTGTTCTGCCAACCGGAGAGCGAAGAATAACTCCATAAAGTTTCACCTGAATTATGATTAAAGTCGCCAGAGAAAAAAGAATTTCTTAAAATTTATATTTCCCTTAAAAGATTTTAATCTCACAAACAATTGTTGAGAGCAATCAAGCGAAAATAAAGTCTATCTCTCTGGCATTTCATTTGTGTGTTTTTGAGTTAAATTTCTGCATATATATCATAAATGCTTGACAAATTAACTTACACAGTTTTGAGAATGAACATGACTGCTGGGAATGTGCTTTACAATCAGCAGGACAAAGACATTTTCTTCTATGACTTTAATTGGTTTTAAATTAAGAATTAAGTTTAAGTTTAAAAGTTTAAAAGGTTGAGCAGCAGCAAAGGTAGTTATATAAATATTTCAAGAAAAGATTTGCAGAATTTTTTAACGTTTAAAGTTTGTTACGATTCTAAATAATATAAATGAGCTAAAAAAGTCATTATCTACTCGCGTAGAAAAGCATACAAGAAGTCTATTATTTTGTCACTTAAGGACCAGGCTGTCTCTTTGGGTTTTTTATATTGCATATGATCTTATATATTTAAAATATTTTACTTACCCGCCACAACCGTTTCGGAGCGCTGCAGGCGGACAAGGACATGCTCAATGAGGCCAACATCTGTGCAGGCTTGTAAATTGCGGACGCTTTTGCGCAGAATTGCAATGAAGACGCTCCAAATCTCCGCCTGAAAATATAATAAATTTGTATTATTGTTTATTTATTTTCTTTTTTTAATACAAAGATATCAAAATCTGTATGTCTCTTCTGGGAAAAAAACTTGAGAAGAAATGTGTGCGTGTGTATATTGGGAAATCAAAGTATCAAGTGCTGTGATGTTGCTTGCCTTTTGGCCCCAGCTCAATAAGCAAGAGTGAAGTGGTTGCGAGATACACTAAGAAAAATAGTATTTAAAAGTATATAAATTTAATACAAATTCTAGATCTTAAAAAAATGATGTCTTTTCAAGTAATTTTCCCTGGAAAAAACTCAAAACTTTACAAGCTTTACAAGATAGCAAACTTTCTAGCCTTTATAGTTTTATTGCAAAGAAAATGAATATTTATTCTTGAAATTTAATTAGTTTCAAAAATTATGAAATATTTTCTATGTAATTTAATATGTTTTCTTTAATTTTTCTCTGTGCTGGCACACAAACAATCACAGGAAGTAAAAGCAAAAGACCAAAATAAGCAGCTCACGCGCCCGAAAGTATGCAGGCACTTATCTGCTGCTTCTCTCTCAAGTGTGTGTGCCTGAGTGTGTGTGTGTGTGTATGTGTGCGTGTATTCCTGTGTGTGTGCCTAATGTAAACAGTCATTGAAATAAAGTAAAATAATGGAAAGTAATGGCAAAATAATCGCAAGCCAAGACAGAGTTTTCTCCGACGTCTTTTCCCGCTTTTCCTTTTTCACCATTATTGCCTCAATTCTTGAGAACAAAAACAAAAGCGTTTGACGGTTTTTTATGATTATTGCCTTTCGGTACACACACTCACACTGTATACACACTCAGAGATACAGATACAAATACATTTACAGAGAAACTGAGAAGATTGCACATTGATTGGCAATTGCAGAAAAAGCAAAGCGAATATCGTATTGAATATATATTTCTGTATTCAGTGACTCTCTTTCTGTTGTTGATATTTTCTTTTTTTCTTCGTTTATTTCCACAATTTCGATAATGAGAAAAACAAAATTGAACGCATTTTTCATGGACAACAAAAACAAAAAAACCAAAACATAAAAAAAAGGAACATGAGAAAATTGTGGCTTAAGCTTGGATTTTGTTTTCAACTGATTTCATTTTGCTTTAAGATTTAATTAAAGAAATAATTACTAAAGAATTATATTTATTTAAGGTTGAAAATATAAATATATTTAATTTTCAGTACAACATTTAATAGATTTTATTTGAAGATAATATTTAACCTTAATTTAAGGTTATTCCTGGTTTATTTTATTTTCATTCTATTTTTCGTTCCCGATTATCCTTGTGTCTATTCCATTGTTATCAGCTGTTTTGCTCGTTTACGCTTCATTTATCAACGTTTCCTATTTTTTTCCCCATTTTTTTTTTAGCCTCCGGTTATTATATATATATATTTTTTTAGCTAGGCTTTTCGTCCTGTTTTTTGTTGTTTCTAATGTACTGCACGCATAATTTAATTCGTCGAATCATAAATTTCCAACAAAAGTTCATGGCTCTGGGAGCACTTTTCTCCCCCGTAATTTTTTCCATGATTTTCATGATTTTCCTCAGAGGATTCCGGTGATTCACACCTGGGGCTTTGGGTTGTGAGCTAAAAATCGGCTTTTTGGGTATACAAAATGTACTTAAATTACAGCACAAAAAAAAAACACTGATATATATACTTGTAATGTATATATATTTATGACTCTTTGTGGCTTTTGTTTTGTTGTTGTTTAAATTGTTTTCTTTGTTGAAAATTGAAGATTTACAAAGCTGCACCACAGGGCACTTATTACCCTTGGTTTTCGCTGTCGGTTTTCTTTGCATTCCTTTTGCAGCTCCAGCTTCCCCGCTTTTCCTGCCTTTTACTTATTTATTTGCCTTTTCTCGGTTTTAACTCTATGGAATTTATCTCTCTGGAATTTTCCAGCTCTGACTTTGGTCAAAGAACGACAGTAGTTTGTTGGCCCTAAAAACTCATTTATAACTGTTTGTTTAACAATCGAAATGAAGTTTTCTTTTCGCTAGAGGAGAGTTTGTAATAAGATTTTGCTTGGTATTTCAATTTGTTTATGTTTGTACATATAAAAATAGTATACATTTTATTAAAATTAATTTTAAAATTGTTTTCAGCAATATTAGAAAAAGTTTTAATATTTTAAATAATCTAGTGTCGGACAACTATATAAGTAATTATGAATATTAATATCTATGACCAGTAAGTATCTATTACCAGTAAGTAACTCTGAACAGTTAGTATCTATGATTAGTAAGTATGTATGTATGATCAGTAACTAACTTTGAACACTGATAAACAATGACTTGCAACTTTTGTAACACAACACATTTCTAAGACTTGGCCGGCAGCAGTCACTTCGTTCCGGGGAGGTTAGAACCCATTGGGAATCATATGCACAGATGTGCGAGATTTGTTTTAGAACAAAGAGCAAGCTATTTGAATGAAACTATGGAGCTATTCTTCTATATAATTTTACTAGTATATAAGTCGGAGCATGACAAATCGGTGGACAATATATATACATATATATAGCTACCATAGGAACAATCGGACGATTTATAAAACTATGACCAGTAAGTAAATATGAGCAGTAATTAACTCTAAGCAGTAAGTATCTATGACCAGTAAGTACCTATGAACATTAATTAACTATGAGCAGTAACTATCTATGGCCAGTAAGTAACTATGATCAGTAATTAACTATGATCAGTGAGTATCTATGAGCAGAAAGTAACTCTGAACAGTAAGTATCTATGACCAGTAAGGATGTATGAATGATCAGCTACTAACTTTGAACACAAATAAACAATGACTTGCAACTTTTGTAACACAACACGTATCTAAGACGTGGCCGGCAGCAGTCACTTCGTTACGGAGAGGTTAGAAAAAGTTGGGAATCATAAGCACAGATGTGCGAGAGTTGTTTTGGAACAAATTGAAGCTATTTCAATAAAACTATTGAGTTATTCTTCTATATAATATTACTAGTATATAAGTCGGAGCACGGCGAATCGGCGGACTATATATATACATATATATGCTGCCATAGGAACAATCGGAAAATTTTAAGAAAAAAAATAACAAATAACTTTTTCAGTTTTCAACAGATGTTCATGAAATTTGATATATAGCCTTTATATATCAATCTAGAAGTTTGGGTAAAATTTTATGAAAATCGGAGTACTATATCATATAGCTGCCATACAAATAATAGTTAGAAGAGAAGTTAAATTAAGGTAACCGAAATGTATATACCTTTGCAGAGTAAATCGGTCATAACAAAGTCAAAATTACATTAATTCCTAATCGGAAAGCTGTTCTGTGCTAGTTTTAAATATGTTAACAAATCTGCATACCTAAATTATATTTTTTAAGTATTACAATTTTTGTCAATTTTTCAAAATGTCAACAATGTAAAAACCTGTTATAAAATTTCGAAAAAATTTAACAAAATTTATTTTCTTTCAAAGATGGCGAGAAAGACTCGCCTTTTGATGCTGATCAAGAATATATATGGTTTATAGGGTCGAAAATGACTCCTTCACTGCATTGCATGCTTCTGACATAAATTATAATACCCTGCAAGGGTATTGCCAAAGTAAATATAAATATATGTAAATATTAAATGTGTAGGTGAATGAAATGAAAGCAGGCATTACTTTATTGTTTTTTTAAGATAAATATATAATATATAATTTATATTGTATTAATTCCAAGAGATCGAAGATCTATCTGCAAGAGTATATAAACTTCGGCGTGCCGAAGTTTGCTGCCTTTCTTGTTTTAAATTTGTCTTGTCTAGGTCTTAAATGATTTAATTATTTGTTTATTTATTTGTTTACGTAATTTCTTATGTATTATTTGGAATCATTAAATATGAGAAACTGACAGCAAATAAAACAAAAACCTAATTTGACGCTTTGGCGTTTTGTTTTTACAGCTTCATTTCCTAATAAGCAGCAAGTGGAGGATTTTTCCAGTAGGCAGGGGGAGACTTTTCTTCACATAGATATATTTCTTTCTCCTTCTAGCAAATCCCCTCTAACAATTTGTTCCCAGAGAATGGGAAGAGAGAGACAGCACCAGATGAAGATAAAGAAAAAATTAAATAATAAGAGTAGAAACTTCAGTCAGATTTTATTGCGTAATTGGGTAGCAATTTCTTCATGGCACAACGGGCCCAAAGTTGCCACAGCCACTGAGCACAAATTAAATTTGGCCTTTTTCTACACGCCGCACTCCCTCCTCTCACCCCCTCTGTTGAATTTTCCCCTCTTTTTTATATATATATATATATCTGTTTTGCCGCCCTTAAGTATGCTACAGAAATGCGGCAACTTCTTTGAGCCGAGATTTCCCCGACTTTCCCGCTCGACTTTCCTTCTTATTTCCTTATATATATATAAATATATATTTTTTTTTTTTACTGTGGAACGCAGTGGAGCATTTTGCAGCTTGTTGTAATTGTTGTTGTTGTTGTCGCTTGTTGCTCTTGTTTTTTTTTGTTTATCCCCCCTCTCCTAGTAATTTTTTGTTGTCAGAAACAAGGAGCTTCCCGTTGGCCAGGTTAAATTGAGCATCGCTTGTCCAGCCAGCAGTCGACGGTCAAAGGCCAAATGAAAGAAAATTAAAAATTAAGTGCAAAGTTTGCCAAGATTTTTGTGTCAGGCGGGAGGTTGGAAGCAAGAGAGGGGGGAGGAGGGTGTGTGGGAAAATGGGGGAAAAATACCTATAAAGCTGGCCGACAGAAAAAGATAAAATTTATGCAATGGCAAAAGTTTAATTGCCCAAACGGTGGCTCCTTATTTATAGAGACACAATAAATATAATTAAGGCAGTTTAGTTGATTCAAATTAAGGGAATAAAGTAAAATTAAAGTAAATATCAAATAAATACAAAATAAAATAATAATAGTAATAAAAAAAATAATAATAATAAAAATATAACAAATAATTGTTTCAGTTTTTTCGTTG